TCAGTATTAAGCTTTTGAAGGTACTTCTTAATCCACTTCAAACTCATTTTGTTAGTTTAAACCAACCTTAGCTCTCATAGAATTTCTCCCACTGCTGCAGCCAGTTGCACTGAACACTCCACAGAAACACGCACACATATTCTGGCACATGGCCATGAATTCAGAAGTGAACGGAAAACTTACTACTGAATCATTTTTCCAGTCTCTCTGAGGTACTTCATTGTTCTCTGTGGGACATTTTCCAGTGTTTTGTATAGTCTGCTTTAAAAACTCACTGGCAATCCTTTTGCCTTTGTACTTCTACAGAGCCATAGATCTTACCCAGGTCAGGAAGTCTTAAGGGCTTGTCTATGGTGGACACATTCCAGAATCGCAGCAGAACAGATAGAGAGATAGGAACAAAAAGTTACGACACAGTAATATTCTCTGCCTTGCTGGAATAAATAATGCCTCATGTTGACAACCTATCCCAGGATACTTAGAGTAGGAACTACTTTAGAAGTGACTTGGTTTTGTGGATGACCACGAGGGGGAGTTACACCTATTTAACTATAGCTGTAATGAACCAGCGTCCATCCATTTTCCTCACTAGACAAACCCTAGATCTTCAGCCTCCTAGTCTGAACTAGTAGTAACATGAGCAGTGTTACTGTTAAACTGTTTTGAGATACAGATAGGGTAAGCATCTGCAAATAATTAGATTCCACCATCATGCAGCTGTTTAGCTAACATACACAAAACACAAAACTTTACACCACAAAGCCATGTGGTTTTTCTTTCCTAAAATCACCATTTGTTGTATAAACAAAACTAATCCAAATACAAAGTCAAACTCAAGTAGCCTAAACTTAATCTGCCAAGTAGTGGTGGGTTGACCCTGGCTGGATGCCAGGTGCCCACCAAAGCCGCTCTATCACTCCCCCCTCCACTGGACAGGGGAGAGAAAAATATAACAAAAAGCTTGTGGGTCATGATAAGGACAGGGGGAGATCACTTGCCAATTACCATCATGGGGAAAACAGACCCGACTTGGGGAAAATTAATTTATTACCAATCCAATCAGAGTAGGATAATGAGAAATAAAACCAAATCTTAAAACGCCTTCCCCCCACCCCTCTCTTCTTCCCAGGCACAACTTCACTCCCAATTTCTCTACCTCCTCCTCCCCTGCAGCACAGGGGGATGGAGAATGGGGGTTGGGGTCAGTTCAACATAAACTGTCTCTGCCACTCCTTCCTCCTCATGGGGAGGACTCCTCACACTCCTCCCCTGCTCCAGCATGGAGTCCCTCCCATGGAAGACAAGTCCACCACAAACTTCTCCAACATGAGTCCTTCCCACAGGGTGCAGTTCTTCACAAACTGCTCCAGCGTGGGTCCCCCCCAGGGTCACAAGTCCTGCCAGAAAACCTGCTCCACCGTGGACCTCCCTGGGCTGCAGGGGGACAGCCTGCCTCACCATGGTCTTCACCAGGGGCTGCAGGGGAATCTCTGCTCCAGCGCCTGGAGCACCTCCTCCCCCTCCTTCTTCACTGACCTGGGGGTCTGCAGGGTTGTTTCTCTCACATGTCCTCACTCATCTCTCCAGTTGCAGCTGTGGAGCAACTTTTTCCCCTTCTTAAATACATTATCCCAGAGGCACTACCACTGTCACTGATGGGCTCAGCCTTGGCCAGTGGCAGGTCCATCTTGGAGCCGGCTGGCATTGGCTCTGTTGGACATGGGGGAAGGTTCCAGCAGCTTCTCACAGAAGCCACCCCTGCAGGCCCACCACTACCAAAACTTTGCCACACAAACCCAATACACAAGTTGAAAACTTAGAATAATAAATAAATAAAATTGGGGGGATGGATGGAGCAACTGGAAATCATGAATTTTCTACTTTAGAAAATAAGATCCCAGAGGGACTATCATCACTAGCCAGAACTCCCATAACAGAGGCTGTAAGATTGAGTCAAGTCTTTTTTCCTGCTCTAATCAGTTCCGTGTTCTTGTTTATAACACATCATTATGAAGAGTTGATACACGAGGCAGAAATTTAAGACCATGGATCAGCTGATTTCCTGAAGGACAACCACCACCTGAGACAGTGGCTCCACATCATCCTCTCCTGGAGAGTTACTATGAAGACACCATCCCAGAAATGCCAATTCAACACCTTTCCAGAGAGCAGAGAAACTGCACAGAAGCCTTTGTGCTCCCACACATGGAAAGCACAGCTCTTCTGGCTATACAAGACACCCCACAGGAGAGCACACCTGTAGAGCCTTGAGAGTGGGACAAAGGAAAGAGTTACCAGTTTGGGAGAGTGAACTTCACCTTCAGGTGAGACTTGTATCCTTGACAAATCTTGATTCTTTCTGGGAGTAAACACTCCAAGTAAGTAATGGGAAGAAGTTTCCAGAGGGGATAGGTGCAGAAAACACGACTAACATCAAGGCCCTTTCTGCACAAAATACTTGGATTTCTTGAAGGCTCCACCGTGTGCCCTGGGATTGCATGATTAAGCAGCTTGCTCAAAGTCAGTTAAGATAAAGTGAGGAAAATATTACAAGCCTCAATCTCAAACCCCAGTGTTTACATCCTAAGACCATGCCCAGTCTTGAGAACAGGCTGTGGGGAGGGGAGGGGGAAGAGCAAGATGGAATTAAAAACCACAGCCTTTAAGCATTCCTACTGAGGATCAAAAGAAAGTTTTAACCAACATACTATTAAAATTCTTTCTTTGGTATGAACGAAGTTTGGATTACCAATTACAGAAAAATTCAAGCTCTTAAAACAACAGAAGTCTCCTCCACCTCCCAACCCACTGCCTCTTTAGGGCTGCAAGGTGAAATGAAACAATATTCCTGAAGTCAATAGCTCCTCCTCTCCTGCTGCAACACCAAGTCCCCTGAAAAGCAGAACCCTTTGACAATCCTGAGGTTTCCTGTTGCAATCAACCATGGACAAACTATACTGGTGCCATTACTGAATACCATGTAGAATCACATATAAATGTGTGAGTGACATTGGTACACACTGGTGTCCCTCAGAAAAAAGGCCCAGCTATGAACCACCACAAGCTTACCATATTAACTCCAATCTAACATCAGCAACAGATTCAACACAAGCTATGTACAGAATGGGAGGAAACTTCCTTACCCTTTCACCAGTAAAGCAGCTGTCTGAAAAATTCAGTTTGACCAAAGAGTCAATCAGCACTGCTAAATCACAAATAAAGGCAGGCAGATCAGCACACATATACATTAGGTAGTTTAGAAATGTCTGCACAACACTGGAGTAGTGAGGTATACCAAATTAGAGGCCAGACAGTGGCAATGACAGGACACTAGGAAGCAACTGAAACAGGATAGGGAAATCAAACCCTAATAGACACTGTTGTTCCACACAGCCACCCAGTCAGTTGGCTGAGTAGCGATCAACCACTGCAGTAGCCACAGGTGGTTATAAGGGAGACAGGATGGAAAAACAGAGAAAACAAAACTTCGCACTACCACACCCATTTTATGATGAAGTAGCTACATGAGAACAGGTAAGCCATGAACCCTTTCCAGAAGGAACTCCCTCCACACAGAAGGCATGCACCAGGCACAAATTACTGACAGTTCAGAAAAGTCAGTCATAGCAAACTAATAAAAATGACTCTGTGGTCTCTCTGCTGTAACAGCAGCATGACTGGAAGGCATGAATACTGACAAAAGCTGGCTCAACAGTTGTAGTTAAAGACACACCAAGTAAGAACCAGCAGCATACCTGACGAGATGAAGTGGCAGACACTGTAGCAAGCATTCCTGACAAACGATGACTGAAGACACCACTGCACAGAGTTTACAACTGAAGCCTATAGCCTGCCTTCCAATTTAAAAGCCCACAATTCATCTGAGATCTGCGGGTGAATTCAGTTGCTTGCATACAGGTGTCTTAACATTTGATACCAGAATTTCCCATACATCTACAATGGGGTGGCAAACACAATGCGAGACCAAAGCCTATGCCCTTCCAGGCTGGCAGCTAGAGGCCAAATAGGGAATCCTGACTATCCCAAGCAACACTAAAAAAATGTTTTGGCAACTGAACATAGCTCCTCCTCCAAGCTCAGTAAAGAATATGCAAATAAGATTTTAGTAATAGTAGCCACCTCCAATACCAGCTATATATATTTTTTTTCCAAACCAGAAACTTCTTAATTTTCAACTCACTTCTGTTTCACTCTCTGCACAGCACAAGATGGTAAGCTTTTCAAGACCTATGTTAAGATGTTCCCCCTCCTCTTACCACTGAAAAGCCATTATTAAAACAGGTTTAAAACTTGTTTTACAAGCCTCTCACCCAGAGAGGCTCTGGCCCTTTATAGCTATTGCTGTCAGCATAGCCTTTCCACAAGGTGGCATATTCTCAAGAGAGCCATATGTTACAGTCAGTTCAGGTAAGAAAAGTGTTTGTTTTCAGTTAAAAAAAAAAAAAAAAAGAGGAAAGTTGCTCTTTCAGTCAGAAGACAACTGAATGTAAAAAACACAATGGAGGACAGGGCTAAGAATAAGTTTAGGTACCTCTTCTTAGCAGACATAAGCTAAGAGAGGAACAGAGCAACTTCTAAACATTATTTTTGCACTACCCGAGTTCAGGCGGGCCAGGATATCATAAGCTATGTCCCCAAAGAATTTCAAGAATTACTCTGTGTATCAAGGAGGTGCCTGGGTTATATGTGATCAGCTCTGCCAAAGAGCTCCAAATAGCCACATTGCTGTGCTACACCCATGCCCCTTCCATTCTAATACAGGGTCCAAGGTGTGTGTGTCTGTATCTCCCTTACACAGTGCTTAAACAATCAAGCAGCTCTAGCGCACTGCAGAAAAATTCAAAGGAACATGTAGTCACTACACGTTATCTGCTTTGTCATTCAGTGCAACAGATGCCACAAACCATTTCTCAATGACAAAAAAAGGTTGTTTCACAGTGTTTATATTTACATACTACAGTCGAGGTGGGAGAACTTACCTCCATTTGGAGAGCAGCTGTGTCCTGATCATAGTGTCCCATGATGTTTGGGAAAAAAGTCATATTGTAAGGCATTCCTGAGCATCTGGAAATAGTAATTGGCTCACATGTGAATAAACTGTGTCCTCGCACCAGAGTTAGAAGTAAACTGCAGGTCGCAGAGAAGGTAAGTACTCCCATTTTGTCAGGATCTCCAACTTCAGCACATAGCTCTGCTCAGTAGTTAGACAGACCAGCTTTGCACGAGGATAAAAACACCCATCTTCCTCCGCCCGTTCCGGTGCAAGGCAGGGACGCAGGCAGTGAGGCAGACGATCAGACTCCTCACCGCTGCTTTAGGCATTTCCCCATCCCGGCTGACCGCAATTTTAGCGACCCCCTTCCTCCTCCAGCCTGCACGCTGCAGAAGCGGGAAAAGACGGGATAGAGTCATTCGCAGCAGAAACAACCCGACCGCGACCGCCCGCCCGAAGGCCGAGCTCGGCCTCCTCCTCGCAAGCCCGCAGGAGAAACGGCAGCGCCCGCCGGGACGGGACGGG